GGAGACCATCATCGAGGTATGGGTGTCATTATTATTATTTTTTTTTTTTCAAAAATCTGCTTATTGTCTTTTACAATTCAAAGAAACATACAGACAAATAACTCACAAGTGCACAAAACACTTAACAAAATTAAAAGAAGAGAATACACATTAACAATTTAAACATTCAAGGTGACCAGCATTAGTTGATTACAGTGAGACGAAATATTTTAAGATTGATATCTCAGGCTAGTATGTTGAGACTTAGTCCAGGAGATTTAATCACAATTTTTGAGCAATTGAATACATTTGGAATTAACCTGAAGATAACAGGCTTACAGTCACTATGAGAATAAAAACATAATCAAAATTAGCTAGAGAACATTCAGTCAATCCTCATTATGAGTATTTAAATTTTCCAAGAATAGCTAAAACTTTTCCCATATTTTTTGGAACACATAGTATTTACCCTTAATCATAAAGGTGAGTTTCTCCAAGGCAAGAGAGCTTGATAATGTAGACATCCACGTTTTTAGTTGGGGTCTGGTTGGGTGTTATTTTGAAATGCTTTCACTCACATTTTAAAGAAAAATACTTATTTGTATCCTCTGGTGTCCTCAGGTGGAGCTGACCAACATTCAGAAGAAATACTATCGGGCTATACTGGAGAAGAACTTCTCCTTCCTAACCAAGGGAGGGGGAGGAGGGGGAGGAGGGGGAGGAGCCAGTGTCCCCAACCTCCTGAACACCATGATGGAGCTGAGGAAATGCTGTAACCACCCATACCTCATTAACGGTACACACCCCCTCCTCCCTCCAAAGGATGGCTGTTAATCTGACTGTCACTGTCCAGCTGCGGTCATTTCAAGACTAAAATCTACTTAAAGAAGATGTATACAGTATATACAAAATGAAATAAAGTTAATTTAAAGTTCAGGTAGCTAGAGTTATAGTTGGGGTATATCCTGTATCTCAGTCTCTGAGCTAAAGGGCCAATAAAAACCCTTTTTATTGATTATTTCTTTATCATTTATTTCTATTTCCATCTCTCTTCTAGAAGTCATTGGTTTTCTTGCTATGTGTAATTATCTGCAGTATTTATTAAGGAGTTATCGTAGGTTTTTGGAACCAGTTCTAGGAATCGCAGTGTATTCTGATGGAAGATTTGAACCAACACACCAATATTTAACATACAAAGTAGTTCCCGGAACTAATTCAACTCCTATATAGAGGTTCTACTGTATATATATTTGTGTATCCATGTTTAGATATTTTTCTCTCAGTAGAACGACCCAACTTATTGGGTTAAATCTGCCCTTGTGTGTACATAGTCCAAACAATGAAGACTATTCTCCGTGTTCGGCTGCTTAAATTTGAGGTGAATAATTTTTTCTACTTCCTGTCTCTCGTTCAGGAGCGGAGGAGAAGATCATCGAGGAGTTCAGGGACTCTCACGGAGGCCGGACGGACGTGCCAGAGATGGCTCTCCAGGCCATGATCCAGGCGGCCGGAAAGCTGGTGCTGATCGACAAGCTGCTGCCCAAACTGAAGGCCGGGGGCCACCGCGTCCTGGTGTTCAGTCAGATGGTCCGGTGCCTGGACATCCTGGAGGACTACCTCATCCAGAAGAGGTGAGAGATCAAAGGGGTCCATCTTTTGGGCATTAGCTGAATTAAAAAACAGCTTCTGTCTGATTTTACTAGGACTCGTCGTAGATAGGGAAGCGGTGAGAGCCCAAAAGGGTCCATCTTTTGGTCCAAAAACAGCTTCTATCTGATTTTTAACGGGACTATTCGTAGATAATTAGAATAATTAGTCATATGTGATATCTGAATGAGCTCACATCTGCCCCAGCTGGGTTTAGTTTAATGTTGGTGAGAACAATAACGATGGTGAGCTTAAAAACCATGTACCAGAGATTTAGTGGAGTGGTTTCACTGGTAAAGGCCATAGTTAATTAATTAGTTAATTAATTAATTGGGTAACTACTACTGCTACTCACTATTATTTTTAGTGTGTAATATAATGTAATTAATGTATATATATATTTAATGTATATATAAATTAAATGTATATATTTAATGTAATTAACGTGTATATATATATATATTTTTTTTTATGTAATTAATTAATGTAATAATATACTACTACTACTATTAATAATATACAAATAAATTACATAAATTATGTAATAAATTACATAATACACAATTATTATGTAATTAAATTTCAATAAATTACATCTAACAACTTTGAACACACTGGGGAAGATAGACCTCCATGAAAAAGCCAAAAATAAATCAATAAAATGTCTATAAAAGCAGAATGAGATTTACATTAATCCTTAGATACAACAAAAAATTCAGATAAAATAAGATAAATAACAGCCACCTTTTAGAGAATGTTTTATTGAAGTTGGTGTGAGAAAATGATCCTTTCCATGAGGTAAACGGACTAAAACGGGCCGGTGTCTCCCTGCAGATACCCGTATATGTATTTAATGTAAATTAATGTAATAATATACTACTACTAATAATAATAATAATATACAAATAAATTACATAGTCCACAATTTCTATGTAATTAAATGACATCTAACAACTTTGAACAAACTGGGGAAGATAGACCTCCATAAAAAGCCAAAAATAAATACATAAATAAATAAAATATCTACCAAGCAGAATGAGAGATTCATTAATAAATAAAATAAATAACGTTAATGCATGGTCAGCCACCTTTTATTGAAGTTGGAGGAAGAAAATGATCCTTTCCCTGAGGTAAACGGGCTGCTGTCTCCCTTTAGATAATTCAGATAAAATAAGATAAATAACCGCCACCTTTTAGTGAATGTTTTATTCAAGTCTGAGTGAGAAAATGATCCTTTCCCTGAGGTAAACGGGCTGCTGTCTCCCTTTAGATACCCGTATGAGCGCATTGACGGGCGTGTCCGTGGGAACCTGCGTCAGGCGGCCATCGACCGGTTCTCCCGCCCGGACTCGGACCGGTTCGTGTTCCTGCTCTGCACCCGGGCGGGGGGGCTGGGAATCAACCTCACAGCCGCGGATACCTGCATCATATTCGACTCCGACTGGAACCCGCAGAACGACCTGCAGGTGCCCACGCTCTCCGGGGGGGTCTGGGGCTTTAGGGGGACCTGAGGATCAATCAATCAATGTTCATTCATATAGCACAGTGTTTTTCAACCTTTTTTGAGCCAAGGTACATTTTTTCATTGAAAAAATCACGAGGCACACCACCAACCAAAAATGTCAAACAAATCTGTAGTAACACTATAGTTTTTCTTATCTCATTCTTATCTTATCTTAAGTGTCTTGAATAGGAATCAAATAAACAAAAATGTATTTTTATCATATTTTATATTTCTCCTTTCAAATTGCACTTAACATGTCCACTTTGATATATAAAATTAAATACAAAATCTAGTCATAAGGAATTATTACATGATTACTCCACCAGTCACTAGAACAGCACAGACACTCAGAAATGGCGTATTATTTGCAGATAATTAATTCCTTATCAAAAAATCCTGATATTTACGGACAAGCTTTAGCAGATCGTCCCCCAGACACTCTCGTTGAAAAACATAAGACGTCTATAAACGTCTTTGGCAGTCAGCGGTTGGATTCGAATTGACGTCTATAGACGTCTTTGGCAGCCAATGAGTTAATTAAATATAATTTTTAATAAATAAATAGATTCCACTCACAGCTATGATGTCCAGAGTGTTGTCACACACTTTCCTGATCTCCGTGTTCTTGTCGTGCATCAGATCGATCAGGTAGGCCGGAGCCTCTGCTCTAAAGACTGAGGAAAATAATAAATAATGTGGATAACCTGTGGACTAAAGGAGGGATTAGAGACATCCCCATCCAGTTTAATACTCCTGGTTATCTGTCAGGCTTTTTAAATGAGCCATTAAGTCATTCATCAATGTAAAAGAAACAAATATTTTTCCTTTCGGTTGTATTTGAATTGACGTCTATAGACGTCTTTGGCAGCCAATGAGTTAAGTGCTGGAAAGACAAAAGGATGGTTCTCAGGCTGTGGTGGTTTCTTTCTTTTCTTCAGGCCCAGGCCCGGTGCCACCGGATTGGCCAGTCCAAGTCGGTGAAAATCTACCGGCTCATCACGCGGAACAGCTACGAGAGGGAGATGTTCGACAAGGCCAGCCTCAAGCTGGGGCTGGACAAGGCCGTGCTGCAGAGCATGAGCGGGAGGGAGAACGCCAACAG